ATAAACAATGAAGACTAAAGGTCTCATGCGCTACGAAGCATAGCACCTGCCCCCGTGTCCAATGGTGAGACTTTTGGAAAGCACGTGATACTAGATACCCGTTCAACGCTGTACATCGATGGAATCCGGACTGTTCCGTACAGCATGTACCAATCTCCATTTCAAAATGAGCATAAACTGAACCGACAGCCTGAATCAAGTGTAACTACCGAGTGCGCAGGATCATATTTTTGACGATACGATAAAAGATGGATTGGGATCGCAGTAGAAGGTTGGTTCGAGCAATCCCCTCGTGTTGGTAGTGGCTAAGAAGATGACCGCGAATAGATTTGATGATCTCCGTGGCGGAGAGAGTTACCGTCCTGGTGCTCCTCGCGCTTATATACGACGCAGCAGATCCCCCCCGCGAGTTCACTCTCCTCGTCTTGTTGCAGATACATGGGTACCATCACATGGTCGGACGTATGGCCGTGTGCGTAGTCGCTCACCACCGGCTCCAAGACGTCGCCTCTCACGCAGTCCATCGTTCTACAGGGGGGAAGTTGGAATGGGCACCTTTTCAAAGCCGTGTCCATCGCCGAGGCGGTTCTCGCCCAGACGAGGTGAGGTGCGAAATCGGTCGCCTCACCAGGCCTCGTGGCGTTCAAGGTCTCCCTATGGCGAGAGCCGCCAGCGTGATATCTCATGGAATCGGAGTAACCACAAACGCCCCCGGGATATTTCACCGCGCAGTCATGACTACAGATTCTCTAGGCGAGAGCGGAATCAACCCCCTGGCGACATATATACAAAGCCTGACATTCCATTCCGTGATAGTGGCAACCGTGCACCACTTCCCCATAGATCCAGAAGCCCTTTTCATGGAGGACGCAGGGAACGCCACCTGGACATCCCATTCAACAAGAAGCGGCGATCAGTATCCCCTAAGGGCGCATCACCTATGCGTACCTCCGCATCTGGCTCACTTCCGAATTCAAGACGATCGTCTCCTTTTACCGAAAGACTCAATATGAATTCATCCAATGCCCCAAGCCGGTCGCCAACTCATCAGAACCCTCCTAGATGTCCTTCGAGGACTTCAGATCGGTCATCCACTCGAGAAGAGCGAGCCCGTTCGGTCAGTCGCAAGCCCGCACCCGAGGAACCGAGGCATAGATCGCCAGCACCTGAACGACCTATGGGCAATGGGCAGGATTTTGGAAGCGTCAGGTCCCAACAACGAGTACCTGAAGCCCCTCGATTACCGTCTGGCCAACCAGACACATACCAATCCCGCAACGTTCCAGTACAGCCGAAGGCATACAGCCATATGTTACAAGGTCAAACACCACCATCTGGCCCATCGCATGGGTCCAAAGTAATGTTGCAGAATCGTGGGTCAAATATTTCGTTGCTGTCAGCTCCAACTCGGCCACGCGGCGGTCCAAGTTTTAAGGAGTCGTCCTGGGCAGCCTCTCCAGTCCGCCGTGGGCCTGCGTCTACCGGACTCCACGGTTCCCCACCGACTGGTCCGCGCAGTAGTATTATGTCAACAGGTCCCGGCGTCGAGCTGCCCCGCTCCCATCCCAGCAGACAAGGTAGCGTTACTGGGCCTTCCTACCCTCCTCGTTTCCCGAGACATCTTAGTCACCTTGCCGGCCTTCGCCAAATTATACCCGAAGGCAAAATCATCCCAACCGCACTTGATATTGCCCTGGAAAAGCGCCTGTCTCAACTGGAAGCAGACAAAGACAGACTTTTTGAACAAATTGCGGACAGTCAGAAGCTGAGGCGAGCTGGGATTCGAGATTGGGATAGGCTTGACAGGGAAAGTTCTATTTGTGCATTAAAGAGTGAACTGGCAGAAGGACATTTACAGCGAATAGCTGATGGTGAAGGCGTCCATGCTGGTGCGATGTTCTGACATTAGGTCGCACATTATCATTGACATACCAGCCATTGCAGTCTCAAACAGAAGAACAAGTAGAAAACATATAATTACGTCCGCTTTCGCGCACATCTCGTGATTCGCAGTATCTTATTCTATCAAAGATCCTCATCTCATAGGACAATTTACAAATATGAAGCTTTCTGACAGCGGAGCATATTTTACAAGAAGGGCACCAATGAGTAATGGTTGCTTCATATGTGCATTTTCTACTATATATCCAAAAGCGTAATGGTTTTCTTTCTCTCTCTTGTCTTTTTCTCTGTCTTTTTCTCTTTCTTTTCTTTTCTTTTCTTTTCTTCTTTTTTTTTCTCTTTTTCTTTCTTTCTTTTTCTTTCTTTCTCTTTTTCTTTCTTTCTTTTTTTTCTTTCTTTTTTTTGTAATCCCTTTTTGGTCCTTTTCGGCCCTCCCCAAGTATAGGTAAAGGTAGTGCGAACTCTGTCTTACCTGATATAGTTAGAATTGATTCACATGGGGCAGGTGTTCGGTGAGCTAAGACAGATCAAGATCAAAGTAGTTAGCTGCTGCTGCAGGTAGCCAGGTACCGTGGACCCTGCCCGCTGTCCCTGTTGGTGGCTGGCTATATTTTTGTATTACGGCATCACACATGATGTGGGGCGCTCCCTGTGGCGCATACACTTGAGGCTTCGTGTCAACATCTAAGCATATTTCAGTACTGCTAGCAGAACAATTGCATATAACATAGGAGGTCTAGCTTCGTCATAAGCACTCCCATGGCCAATTTTTATTGATACCCCTCTATTGGACTGAACAAGCATTGATAATCTGCATTACGTACCTGAGGTTTAAGGTGATTTGACTTAATTCGCCATCATGAATATCTTCAGGTTATTAGGTGAGTCTTGTCCGTTCGCTCTCAGTGGAATTGACGCGCCTTGCTAATCAATGCAATCAAGCCGACTTTTCTCACCTCGCGTCCATATTCATACTATTACAGAAGATGAAGTCTTCAAGTGTATGTTGTCATCATAATTGTTTCTTAGCCTTTTCTGACTGGATATAGAGTTGTTCAGGACTTTCATTCAAGTCCCAGGCGCTATATTTGATGGTTTTTGTAACGCGTTATCTTGGTAAGCTTCGGAGCCTCAGCACTCGATTATATAGGCGTAACTCTCTGACGGACTTCTGTTACAGATTTGTTCTGGGCTTTCACGGACTCCTTTTACAACACGACTTTCAAAATCTTGTTCATCGGCTCGTCGGCTTACATCATTTACCTCATGCTCAACGACTACAAGCCAACGCATGACCCCAATACTGATACCTTCAAAGTGCAGTATCTCCTAGGGTTTAGTGCTCTATTGGCTCTCCTTTTCCCGCATGATTATAGCGTCTCAGAGGTATATACCTGGAAGGATTTTATGTCACACTTTATCTGACCTTACTAGATTCTCTGGACGTTCTCTATATGGCTCGAGTCCGTGGCTATCTTGCCCCAACTTTTCATGCTTCAGCGCACTGGGGAGGCAGACACCATAACGACCCATTATCTTTTCGCTTTGGGATTGTATCGCGCCCTTTACATTCCTAATTGGATCTATCGCTATTTTGCAGAGAGTCACTTCCAACCCATCCCTGTCGTAGCCGGTATCGTCCAGACACTATTATATTCGGATTTCTTTTATATCTACTACACCAAGTGAGCGCGAATAAGCTTCCTCTATGAGTTCCCGGGGCGAAGCTAACTGTCATACAGGGTTATGAAGGGCAAGAAGTTCTCATTGCCTGTTTAAGTTCGGCGTACAAGGTAACTGGTTTCGTCATAAACGGTATTGCGAGTTTCGAGGAGGATGGTCAACCGTGCAATTCCGCGGAAAGTTGGAGGGAAATTTATGTCTAGCTACCAATGAATGTTAACTGTTGTCCAGCGACAGGCACCTTTATAAAGTAGCTAACAATCACGCAACTAATCTTGGTCGGTATGCGCTATAGGATTACCCGACCCCTGCGAAGAGGACAAGTCATCTAGCATTTTAATAATCATAGCTGGGAGGACAATTTAGCCAAAACAATGCATTTTCCATACTTTCACACAAAACCATGGTGACACCGATGTTGAGTAAATGTAGCGATGGCAAATCTCCAGCATCAGATACCTATAGTGCGCGTTTCAGATCCAACTAGAATGTTCATTGGGAAGTAAAAAATTGATGGACAGTACTATGAAGACTAAAGAATTCGTATTAATGATTGTGTAGGTGGCGATCAGAAGACAGTCGAGAAGTGCTATACCACCATCCCATATGAAGTTCTCAGTGGCATGGCTTGGCCCACTTGTTCATACAACAGATACTATTGTGATTTACCACCCTCTAGTAGTCCCTATGGCTGGATGGCCCGTGCGTGGAAGGATAGCCCGCATTGTAGCTAACTTGGGATGACGATACTGGCATATCTCCATGAAACGAATCTAGGGTGCCTGGGAGTGTACCTGGCAGATGGCCCATCGTTCCCCCATTGAAGGATCGTACATGGCCTGCACTGATGGCCTGCCTTTCCTGTAGAGATCGTTGGCTGTCTAGCCAAGTGCCATGGCTGCTAAGTTGGGTAAAGTAGTCCGACTGCGGTCTCTCCAGGACAAGCTGTCCGTTCAAAGTCGAATCACGTCTTGACATAGGCGGTGACGGTAGCTTTGGTGAACGGGATAGTACCTCTAGGCGAGGTGAGCCTCTCCTTGAACTAGGAGGTGTCAAGCGCGCACCTCCTCGACGCACTTGGCAGGTTGGACATATCTTGACAAAGCGTGAAATAAGCTCCTTTGGAACCCTGGACTAATGATTAATTTGGGACTTGCTGAGGATGAGTAGAGAGAATGAGCAAGAAGAGAGAATGCAGGGGGAAGAAAAGATCTCAAAAATGTGTGTGATAGGAGTAAAGAGGAAAAGATGCGGTTTCTCTGATCTCACCAGGATCGAGAATTGAGTTGGGGATGCGAGCTTACCATGAATAGATTTGTCTAACTCGAGCCGATGTTTTGTCTCTGCCTCCGTGTTGGCATTGTTGATGTGCTCTAGTGAGTATTTTGAAAAGTTTCTCTCGAATAGCCACTGGTTTTCCCTCATGGCAAATCATTTTCGTGCACTTTAGGATCACAATCAAGGTTAGCACCCAAGTCCTAAATAGTTTGGATTGTAGACGAACATCTGATGTGCCGGTGCCGACTGTTTGGAGCTTGAACATTTTCTTTACCCAGAATCTAGATTGACATAAACTTTAGCCTCAAGTGAAGTGAGCCTATATCGCTTGCAATGGGGCGAATTACCGGAATTGGGCTGATTCCACAGCCGTGTCTTTGGGGTCCATCAGTACGGTTTTGATGTTCCGTGCCCTTTTGGCGTGGATCAAAGCCTTATCCTGCTTTTTGACGGAAAGGTCGTCGACATAACTGTCCAGTATTTGAGCATGCATATAACGTGAGTCCAAAGTGAACGGGGTTCATCCTACCTTTTCATCAACTGATCAAACTCCCTTACATTAGGAAAGCCGTCCAGTGGAGGGATGACTGGCTCTGATAGCATAGAACTCTCATTCTGCGAATCCTGGCTTTCAATATCTGCTTCGCTGAATGCATCACGAAGTGGGAGAAACCCTGGTGACTGGAGGTAACGTGACTGAGGCATATACTGGATATGATGCTGAAGAGGTACATGATCTGGAGTTGGCGGGACCGAATGGCCCGGTGACTGATGAGGTGACAGATGGTGGGTGCTGGATGTGATGCCAGAATGACTATAGGGTGAACCAAAATGTGACGCATAAGTACTGAATGGTTGCTGCTGGAAAGGATACGATCCTGTATCATTTACCCCAAAGTCGTGACTGTCCCCGTGACTGTATGGAACAGGTAAGGCAAGCTGGTGGTTCACGATGTAGCTATCAGAGCCATCGTGATTGTTGCGCCTTGGGTAACCACTCATGCTGAACAGGTCTGCCAAAAGCCCAGAGAGACGCTTATAATTCCTTTAGACGGGAAAAAAGAAGAAAATTTTGGATTGCAGTTACACTCGGAGAAGGACCGTATGACTGGGCTCCTAATGGAGTCGTCTTGGGAATTGAAGCAGTCTTTCTGCGTTCGCTACCCTTGCAATCGTATCGGGCCCAACGTGAGAGACCAGATAAAGGAAGCTTGTTGCTCCGAATTAGGGTTAAGGGAACAGGGAGGATTAATCAAGACAGAGAGGGAAGATGCTCGGGAAGTTCGATAGCCTGGCAGACTACTGTGACCTGACAATTGTAGGAAAGTAGGGCCAAATATGTCAAGCAAAAGTGGGTACAAAGTGGCAGTTAAAAGGTGAAGCAGACAGAGCTGTGACCAGACCCTCCAGGAAGCCTCAGTACGGCCCGTATAGGATGCGCTGGTACGATATGCACAAGACCAAGGCATAATATTTGACAGGGGTGCAAGGTTAACCATTCTGCAATCTTGCCGCAACTAAGAACGACCAAATAATCCTTGAACTTTGTAAATTGCTTCTTTCTCCAGGCATGTGTACTCTGCATATGCACAGAGGGCGGCCAGGATAGAGGAAGCGAGCTGCAGAACGAAATATAAATGTAAGGGAGCATGGGAGAAAACGGTAATGGGGTATTTTGGATACATCCACGAGAACAGCCCCACTGCAAGATCATGGTAGGAGCAGATTCGATAAGAGGGGATGAGAAGGAAAGCAGTGGCTAACAGCTGTGGAACCGACAGGGATCAGGCATCATAACGCAAAGGTGAGGGGTATGAAAAGAGGAAAAGAAATTTGGAAAAAGAGATTTTCGAAAAAAAAAAAAAAACAAAAAAGACGGAAAATGTGAGACACAAAGCGATTAAAGAAAAAGAAAAGGAACGCTGGAATATCAGTTGGGTAAATGACAATACTTATTCACGAATTGCATCTAGGGAACAGAAGAGAGAAGATGATGCATATCTATTGATGTCCGAAATTACTGAGAGGCATAGCCAGGTTGCCGAGAATGAAAAAGATATGAGTAAATTGATGACTGAAATGAAAAGAAACAGAAACAGAATAAGAGTGAGTGAAAATATTTCAAGTAATAATGATAGCTACAAACCGGCATGTACCAGCAACGAGAGATCGTTTGCCTCTCTTTGAGTATACCGTTCGGCAGACTGAACAGGCTTGTATCTGCGTCAGACAAGGCGTCGGTTTGATGTCAGCATAAGATCAGCATAAGTAGAGCTCCAGAGTTCGAACAGGGATATCTTGCCCGTAGCTGGAGACCTTAATCTAAGTGAAAAACAATGTGCCCCCCGTTAGTGCTGCTTCTTCCATACGCGATCCTGGCCTCAAATGATGAGCTACCGTATGATGGAGACAGATGCTTTACAGTTGCCAGCCATATCACAGCCAATGGAGCAGTTGGAACAACTCCTGCAGTACGGAACCACATGTAGGACGAAAATGGATGTACTGATGCTGCATCTAGTTTATGGAGGCAAGGAATTGAATGTATCTCAGTAATCGACACCTGGTTTCATGTGCAAATATAACTGATGCATTGCCGAACCATCATGATAGAAGACGTCACCGATGTCCAAAGTAGACATGGCCATAGAGGTAGGTAGAGAACATCGCAGAGTGGCTGTGCTGGTCCTTCTCAGTGTTAGGCCGCAAATCACTTGTCTAGGCTAATTGGCTGCCTTCCAGATACCTCTCTGAATTGTCGCGGATAATGAGGACAACGTCATCACTAACATCGTCGCCGCTGGCGCCGCCAGCATCGTCGCCATCATCGGCACTCGATTGGGTGACACTTGGCAATTCTTGAAACCATTCTGCTGTTTCTTTCGTCCTGCGAAGTCTCCTTCTTTTCTTTTTCTTGTTGAGTAACCGCCAGATACGAGGGTAGGTAGATACCTGGGTAAGTGCCTACCCCCTTGTAGGCGTGTTAATGTATGTATGAGCTGGCGACTAACTGCTTAACACCGAAACTCCTTTTGAAACATGATACGCCGAATGGGCGATGCCCAGATTTCGGGCGCTTATAAGTAAAACAATGTAGGTATGCAGGAGCCTGACTAACTGGAGAACAGAACCTCTTTACATAATTCGTACACAGGGTGTTTCTAAGAAACTGATTGCCAGAAGCTAAACAATAGCAAATGCAGGCAAGAGGGAAAAAAGCGGGACTGGAAGAAATAACAAACTAGCACCCAAGTACCAAAGAAGAGGCAAATGTGTTTGGGGCTTGCAATAACCACGATTGTCGTTCAAACTTCAGTTCACCGGTAGCCAATGGGTGTATAACTGGTGACCGTGGCTAGGTCCAACCTGGGACACATACCTAACTACTTTTGGAAACTTGTGGACAAACCAAATTGAACTGATGTAGGTCGCCTTCCTGCAAATACTATCTCAGTAGGGACTATCTTAGCGGGGAGGTAAAAGTACAGAAAAATACATGAAAAAGGAAAAAGGGGAGGGATGATTAACAGAAAACCGTTGGAGGCAGGTGAATAGGCAGGTATCAGCACTGTCTAACACACAGAAGTGTGTACTGTGATCACAATGCTGTTCCTGAAGAGAGAAGCCCGATCAGAAGAAGTCGGTGCATGGCGTCAATCAAACATGTCTACTACTAGTAGTCACATGAGCAGGATCGTGAAATCCACCCATTAACCCTATTCAGGTGTGCTGCAAGCCAACCCAAACATGATGCTGAATTCATCAGAAGCATAGAGCAAGCACTACTAGGCAGAGATCCGATTTCTCCCTAGACACAGATACATACTTTCTCTAATAAATACCAGCCCGGCTTGACTCGGCATCACCATGCGAAAGGAGGGCTTGATAAAATCGAGTACTGAGGACGGAACCAGGAGTAGGTTTGTTATCGCCGCAAGGTCAATACCCCCTGAAGGTAAGTAAGGATAGGTGAGAACAGTCCTTTACACTACACCATGTAGCTCGTATTATGTACGCGTCTCGTCTATCTACCCCCAATGCAAGTACCCGGACTTAGCAGCATGAAATTCCGTCTTCACTCAGTTTGAAATTCGATACTTTGTGTGACCCTTTCGGGTGTCGACATTGTATATGATATTCTGCTCTTTTGGTTGAGAACTCTAGACTAGTGAGGGTTGCATTGCTTCCCCCCTTCTCCTCATGAAATGGATGCTTAACCTTTGCGAGCGTTCCACCCGTCTGCTAACCATGTCCAGCACCAATGACCATTGTGGAGGGAGCAGACCCGCTTCAGTCATTACTCCTTGTCCTTACCCAGTCTTTGACCAAATGCCTACTCAAATCGGGGTTACTCGTTGTCTTACAATGGCGCAAACAAGCAGGGATATACCCTGAAGCCTGTACCCATGAAGCTTACATACAGCCTGTAGACGCCGCCACTGAACTTATAACTGCCTTAGCCCCATGTACATACAGTAAGAGGTCAGAATACGCTAGTTCGAGAAAGTTAGTAGCTGACTGCTTCAGATTTGAATATATGTACGCTTACTACTACTGGGTAATCCCGGCTTTCTGGGGTATTAAACGGCATGCGAAGGCTATATATGGTGTTAGGCACGGGCCCAGTACATGGGACTGTATGTTAAGTCAGGCCAATAGATAATACTTTGGCTTGAAGAGGTCTTATTCACATAGCGGTACTTAGATGCTGCTATCAATTCTTTTTCCGTATTCCACTTTCCTGATCTTCTGCGTAGCAACTTCCTGAATAGGCAGTACCTTTTGAGAATTGGTTCTTATATGTATGTTGTGATTTATATGATGTTATTGATCCATGCACAGAGACTAAAGACCATCCACGTTCTATAATTACTGACCTGAAAGTGAGAATATCGCCACTAGTCATCACCATGATCATTGCTGTGGTTCAAGTGACCATCTTTCTTGCTAAAAAACCACATTAGCCTTGTTTCGCTTCTTTAGCCCGCTTTCCACTTAAGTGAACAGTCTTTTATTATCTGCTTCGCCTTGTATCGATGAAAGTGAACAAGCTCCCTTCACTCTGCCTTCCGTACCCTAATGGCAGTTTGGAGTCTCTCATGCTGACTCAAAGTACCTGAATCGTCAGCAAAAGAGCATCCCCTTCACGAATAATATGCGTCTTGGTTTCTACGGTGCGTTGGTATACATGGCTCAGAGCCTGCAAGTCATCTCACTGTCTCAGGAGAGGACCAAAAGCTGCACAGTCGAAGAGAGAGGGCTGGAAATTTACCCTTGCAAAATCTCCAACGATCCGTTGATATTCCGAACTGGGAAGATTGACGACGCAATTATGAGCATCAGGATGGGTATTCTGGCATATTCACTCTCCGGTGAAAAGACTTTTGCTGAGGGACGGCGCACCAGTTTCAGGCTGGACAGTGGCGTATTGGGCTCAGACTACGATACCTTATCTATATTTAGTTGCCTCCATAGATTTACTAAGTAGAGCAGCATTGAGAACCTGATCGTTCTCTTGTTTGCCTGGATTGCGAAAAGTCGATACTGATTGCTGTTCATGTGGACGACACGGGACCTAGAAACTAAGATCATATCCTCCAAGTTACAGAAGTTGATGAGGCAGAATTCTTGCTAAGTACGACATCTTTCTATGCCGGGTTTTATCCACGTAGATCGATGCGTCGCTGGCTAGGCTGATGGATGATCATCTGGGTCTCTTACCATCTATGCAGGGGTGTGCGCTGCTGGATGCACGGTATGTCTGCTCACTGCCTGCAAAGGGTCAGTAACGCTGGGAAGCAGTAACCGACCCCACCAATAAAGCAGTAGCTGTTTTCGGACAAATTCTGAAAATTCGACTCTCATGATCTTGCAGGTTATGTTATTGCTGGCTTAGGGCAAGCGCTACTTACTACATACGAACAATCCGGAACTCCCGGGGATGCGGGGGGTTGGGGCCGAAGAGCCTTTGCATCATGACTGGGATGTCAAGGCCTATCGGAAAGGGAAGCTTATAATATAGTAAGAGTTGTAGATTAGTTTCCGACGCGAGGGGGAAATCCTGCCAGGTAGTAGCTGTGATCGCAACTGGTACGTCTTCGTCGAGCCTGGATTCTAGGGCTGTGCTACAAATACTGGCTAGGAGCTTCGGACAAGTTTGCAGCTATGAGGGTTTGAGTTAAAGATCTTTGCTCAATTCATAACATGGAAAATGGAGTAGTGCAGAAGAGTTAGGTTCCGTGAACATGCATAATGAATTGCTCCAAGAATCTCTGTCTGCCTCACTTTGGCCCAGCCCTAACACGCCAAGCAGGAAGACCTAGCCCACGTAGGTATTGTAAAGTATTTATTAACAGCCATGCTGACCACAGCCACAATTACGAAACCCGCAAATATGTCCCTCAGTGGATGTGGCAAGGCGTATGATACTACTAACCTCGACAATCCAGTTCTTATAGAATGGCGAGGCGCTACCATGATCAAGGAGTCTAGACTTTATGTGTTTGTTCTACAAGATCCTAGGACCAAGCACCCCGGGCAGTAGCTGACTGCTTTCGAATTAAGGATTCATTCCTGGATTCCTCCTATCATTTACAGTTGGATTCACATAAAAATGATCAGTTATTATACATCCCTGAAAAAGTCATCTGTCCATCAATGGCGTGGTAATAAGTTACATATAACAACCGGTTCATAAGAAGCAAAGCAAATCGCACCTCTTTAAGTCATAGTCTCGTAGAATAATCATGAGTCTTCCCATTTCATCACCATTTGCCATCATCGAAAGCTGGCAGCAGGGTTGGGTTGCATAGGCCAATAGGAGCTGCTTCAATGCAACAGCAGCGGCCTTTCACCACTTCATAGTGCCCTGGCCCCCCTGTTCTTGGAAACGCCACTTGCGACCGAGTCATGTGCGGTCAAGGTGCTGTGTGCTGAGCGTGCTATTATTGAATCTCACCAGATCCCGAATAGCCCATCTCCAACCGTCCCCGAACCTCCCACGATCATGAGTGGTCCATTTATCGACCTTGCGCCTCCACTTCTCTTCTTCCGCACGCTGCCGCCTGATAAACTCCGGGCCCACGTCAAACTCTTCCGTTATGGGCCATTCGTCCGATGAATCTTCGTAGCTGCGGTCATCAATACTGGCCGCGAGACCGAATTCATCATAGGCGCCCGAAATTCGTCCCCCCGCGGTATTGGACGGCTCTTTTAGGTCGTCTAGACCTGCAAAGACATCGTCTTCGTCTTGAATAGCAACCAGCCCATCCTTCCCCGGCTGTAATGGCGCCAATTTGAGCCAGCACATACGTTGTGGATCAAATACCATTCCGCCGACGACCTGCACATTCTTCATCGCGCCTATATTCGTGATTAGAGCAGGGGTCGGCTTTGGTGACTTGGGGGACATAGTGTCAAAATCCTGGACTATGTTTTCATTTCCTTCCCAGCAAAAGGAACTAGGATTATAACGCATGCCATTAAGAGCTAAGGATGTCAGCACTTTTCCCATCATGTACTGGAGCTGAACTTACATTTGGGCTCTTGCACACCCGTACCCATGGGTTTGATTAGTTGTGGTTTGGAGACAGGCACTGGCGCAGCTTTGCTTTTCCTGCTCCGGATAGTTGCTGAGTTCGAAGGCACCCGTGACACATTCGCAGGCTTCCAATTCATCCCAAGAGGAGCAAGCGGGTGATTGTCGCGGTTCTTTGGCGTGTTCGTTAACGATGCAATGCGCTGTTCTCTTGCGTTCCTCGAAGCGTTCGTGTCCCGTGCGAATCTTGGTGTGACACTGTTTAGCCTGATTGTGGCGCTTGGTGTGGCTTGTTCGATTGTGGCATCTGCCTTTGCTATATTAGACTGGCCGTGGTTTAATTTACTTCTAAGTGTCCTCGGAACACCTCGCCCCGAAGGATGCTTCACGAATTTTCTCTCTGCTGAAGAAGATGTGGGCAGATCGTCAAATAGTGCCAATTCAGAACCATCACCAAAATTACGCCTTCGAGTAGGTCGCGTAAGTGTTCTTTTGCTTGCAGCGACCAATGTCTCTGGACTAGACTCATTGAGAGTCTTACCCATAGTATCATGGCGGGTAGATCGCGGCAGTCGGGTTCCATGTCCTTGGGGATTTGATGCATCATTGGGACTATCTGAACTGGACCGACGATTGTATCGAGAACTTTTGACACTGGCATGATGCGACTGCTTATCTGAGGCACCGGCAGGAAGAAATGGTGCCTGAGGTTTACGAGCGAAAGTCTTCGTATCACTTCCTATCCGGTCAACAGGAGTTTTCGGTCGGGTGGCGTAGTATTTAGGCACGTCCGAACCATCTTGTAGTGTAGGCAGACTTTGAATATTTGAGATAGTCTGATGTGGATTTCGTAATGTTGGCATTGAGCGCTTGGTCCTCAGTAGTTGCCTACCCGAGGCTATACGTTCACTAGCAAAGCTATCATTCGATAGACCAGCGCCCATGAGCCGTCGACTAGGGGTTGACGGTGTTTGAGATGTGGAAGACCCAGGAAGGCTGGAGACGGAAGACTGTGACGAATGACCCCCAGCCCGGCGTTGTGATGACCGAAATCTCGACAGAGGAGCACCGCTCTCCGACACAGTCTCGAGATGGGTTGAATGAGGACGGTCGTGTCCTGAAAGGCGAGGAATTCGAGTCTTTGGGGAAACCGCCGTGTTCGTGAACGTGATTGTAGTTGTTGAGTGCCGCGCAGGACTTTTGGGAATTTCCGTTTTGCACTTGACGTTGGGGTTTATCGACAGCCTGCGAGGATTGAATACTTCTCCATTGTTGACTTCAAGGCCCGAGAAGAAGTCGTCAGTAAGGACTGGCGTCTGATTAACTGGACGCCGTTCCAACCGTACGTCATCACTGGGCGATTCTTTCCGCTTCCTTAAGGACGCTTCAAAATCAAGCGGGCCTTCTGGTATGACGAGGCCATCAAGGCCTTCATCTTCACTCTCAACCGTGAGACAGCTCGATGAACTTGGGCTGACAACGGAAACCGAAGAGCTTGGAATTGATGGCTGATCCCTTGCGGTACCCCCGAACCGGACTCCAATACTGCCTTCTGACCAATCTACGTCGATATCATCAGGAGTAGGACCGGCGGTTTCCACGGCTGTCTTTCTAGGGGAGAGCCGGAGCAAGATGTCATCCGCCGGTAACTCGAAATCATCTTCGAGATTGTCGGTGGAATCCTGGCCTCTCTCAGGAGTCGGACTGTCGATACGCGTTGCTCTGTCTGGTGAACGAGGCTTGGCAACCCTAATCGTAGGAACGTCTTGAGTGTCAACGAGCCCGCCCTCTTGCGGTGAAATAGAGGTGATAGCAAGAGCTGACTGAAGGCGTGTCGACGCCTCGCTATCCCAAAAACACGGGGCGGAGGTTTTGGTCGGACTTGGGGCAGCGGAATTGATTTGCCGAAGAGACTCAGGAAAACACATATTTAGCGAACGCTTTAACTCAAGGGTGCCGTCGGGACCTGGAAGTTCGACGTCATCTGACCAGTCGTCGACTATATCCTTCTTCTGCTTTCTGTGTCCGAGGCGCTTGATGGTGCCTCCAATGAGGGCCGATCGAGGGACGTTCATAGGCAAAGGGATCCCGGCGTTTTTGGCAGAAGCGATAGCTTCTTCGGTGATGATTTCGTCATTGTCCAACAGCTGAACCTGCCAATCCTCGTCCCCTCCTGCGTTGGAATCAATATCGGAACGTCCCGAGCGACGCGATGAAATCGAATCTCGGTGGCCCGACCGGCGCACTGACGAAGTCGTCACAGATGTAGCTGTTGATGCGGCTCGTAGCTGGATATCCTCGTAGCATTGTAGATCATCGTCATCGTCCCAACACTCGATCGTTTCTTCCTCACTGTGGCGGACCTCGAGAGTGAAGGGAGCCATGTTCTCGCACTAAACTGATGTATGCTCATATAGGAGATCAAAGATCCTCGGGGCTCTAAGTAGCAGATGGAAAGCACACGAGCGCTGAGATTCGGCTGCCAAGGGAAAGCAAAGTCATTCCGTGCTTGGTGAGACAGGTCAGATTGAATATGCGTCAATTACTCGGATCGGATAGGCGACGTATGATCGTGCATTGGCAATTAAACAAGAGCGATAGCGTTAGAAGGCGTGAGGGGGAAGCCTGACGGTGTTCCAAAAAGGGGAAACTCGACTAAAGCCGCTATCTATGTGAGTGGCAGGTTGCCCTATACTGAGGCCAAGCAGGTAGGGTCGCATGTAAGTCTCAAAATCAACAGAAACCAAACAGAATGATCAAGGTGAGGCCAGAATGTGTGCTCCGATATTCGCTCGAGAGTTGGCGCGTAGTGTCAGAAGGGAAGGGAACAGAAGTGAGGAACGCAACCTGGGAAATACGGACAAGGGAAAAGCCTGGGATGGATGTAACGCCGAAACCAGAGCGCGACGGCACCAAATGGTGATCATCGACGAATAATCACGGAGCCAGCTATCAAGCCTCTTTTGTATGACAACAATGATGAAGCTGAGGCCATGGGAACGAAAGTACGGCAAGAAAAAAAGGGCGGAGGGGCTTGGCTGAGACCGACGGCAATGTCGACGAGAACTACTAACTACTACATACATTCATTCATCTTGGATCAAATACGGCTTGGGTTTCACCGTTTTCTTCCCCTTCTATTGGGTAATGCTACGTCGCCTTGGTTGGCCGCGTAAATGGGTAATAAGGTGCTATACCCACCCAGCATTCGCTAGTCCCTTTATTAGCACTGCATAGGTCATAGCTAGACTCTTGCTAGTTGACTGTCTGTTGCTGGGAGACTCACACTGATGATCCACACAGTCGGCCGATCGCAGCTATTGAACGGAGTTCCAGTACCGCAGTTTCACCGAGCACTACTTGGTACTGCTTCACACCACTGCAGGTACCAGGTCTAGCTCAGGATCAAGTCATCTGTCGTCGCAATATTGAATGGTAGTTTTACCACTTTGCTGAAGTTACACAATAAAATACAAGTTCCATACATGGGTGCTTGCGGCTACCAAAGTCTATAGTTACAGCTTGTCCAGGCAACACTCCTTCCTCTCCTAGGCAGCCTAGACAGATCCCAATTTCGTCTTCATATAAAATAGGATGCAATACTTTTCATACTGCATCAAGTCCTGGTAGTCAAAGTCACAGCAATATGTCTACGTCTGAACACACGTCACCTCCTCGGGTTCTACGTGTCCCCAGGTCTGATGAGCCCGACAGTTATGTGCTGCTCCACGTCGCGCGCACCAATACGGCTGCACTCGACTTGAATCTCACTGCAACGGAAGGAGAATTTCCGTATAATGGGGTCGGTATGGGGTGTCCATATTACTGTTCCTTTTGTCTGTTCTTTCTTCAAATATTGTGATATACTAAGTCAGAATAGTGCGACAGGCTCGTGCGAAGACTCACCGTTCAAAGGGTTACCAGGGAACCGATGAGGACTGGGTTCTTATCCTACTGCGTGCCTTGGGTCAGCTAGAGATCAATACAGACAATTCAGATCTGCTATCTGGTATTGAATTATCAGCTAGCATCAAGGGGCAGGGTAGGCAGGGCAATCAACTGGTCCTCACTATTCGCCGGAGGGTCCAAACTATAACTGTAATTCCAACCACCGAAAAGTATCAGATGTGGTGCTGATGATCCACAGCAAAGACTCGGTTCTATAGCGCTAAAGCAGGATGATGAGCAAGCTATCCAGCTATTTGACTGGTCTGCTATCGCCGTTGCCAGAGCTGATATGCTTGAGCAGCAGTTATTAAAATTGCAACGGCACTATCACGAAGCCGACAGCACTATCGAGCAGCTCAATAAGCAAATTGAAGACTTCATATCTGCAAAACGCCGCCATGAGGAACAGCTTATGACGAACTTTACGCAAGTTCTAAATCAGAAAAAGCTCAAAATTCGCAATCAACAACGCTTGTTGGCTTCAGCGAAAATTGATGTGGACGATGGTAAGGTCACATGTTCGAGTCGAGTCAACAATAGCTGATCCTGGGATTATTAAAATGTAGCTGGTAAACATCAGGCCGCCTCATCAAAAGTCGGGGCCCGTGTCGGGAGCAAGAAGCATGCGAAACGTCCTATTGTGGAAACGAGCGATGACGATGCTGAAAGCGATAATGGCTCGGAGAGCTTGGATCAGACCAAGCCTCAAACCAGCCCAGGAAGGATCTCAGATACGGACGATGAACCGAATTCTACTCCCCAGCCATTGGAGGATGTAGATGATACTACTGATGAAGATTCACCCACAGCGTCCGGCATCGACCAGGGGGTAAGTGAACAAAATAAAACGGAAGAAGCCTATCATCCATCTAGGATGCAAAAACAGTCACCGCCACCCCGCAGGGAACTTCCATTCACCAGAGGGTCAGGATCAAGGAAAGACACAATACAAGATCTACAGCATCAACAAGACAATGCCGAAGAAACCGCAGGCGAGACAGACGATGATGAGCTATGAAGGCATAGCAGAGGGAATATCAGTGCATCAATCAATATGTATCCATTCCATTAACAATCCACATTCTGTAGTTTCTGTGACTTGATCTAACCAATGTTTCCATGAAATGGACCTCGTCAAGCCTCTCAAGCTTATTTTGAACTTATATACAATATCACCACTAGTGACGCATCCTCTCCTATCTCAGGAAACTTCACTGTGAGGGAGAAATCAATAGCAGTACGCATTACTGGGAGGAATGAACAAAGGAAAAAAAATGATGTTTAGGTGTTACAACGACAACGCCTAGACCTATAATAAGGATAAACCGGGAGATCAGAACTACAAGTGGTAATCTTAGCCATACAAAGCCTGGGGCGACATCTCTCCAGCAGCCATGAAGTTAGTTTCGGGATTACCCGTAGCCTTGGCTGCTGAGCAGCGGGCCATCGTAGGTGAGCTATAACATGGTCAGAGATGCTTCCTCACAGAAAATGTTCAAGGGTATTACTTCTACATACCTTCGAGAGATGGAGTCAGTGAAGTAGAAGTCTTCAATAACACGCTTGAAAGGCGCTCCAGTTGGCTGTGTGCCCTTGTTCTGATCAACCAACTGAACCTTGCTAAGGGAGCCCACGGAGGTGGACTCAACGACGTCATATCGACGCATCACAGGACTGATCTCTTCCATGCGATCGCGGAGAGCTTCGATATCATCGTAAGGCAGTGGAACGTTGAGGAACTCGCTGGTAGCGCGAATAATCTTCCAGTCGTCACGAGCCGCACCAGGCAACGAAGTCGCTGCCCGGGTAACTTGAACACGGCCCTCAGTGTTGATGTAGGTGCCAGACTTCTCAGTGTAGGCTGCGCCAGGCAAGACAACATCAGCAAGTTGGGCACCTCGGTCACCATGGTGTCCTTGGTAGACAACGAACGCATCGCTTGGAATTTCACTCGTAGTGACCTCATCAGCACCCAGCAGCCAAACCATCTTAGGCTTGGTCTGGGAGATTTCGGGAGACGGTGTGGTAAAGCCAACCTCGTAGGCTGCAGCACGAGATGCCGCACGCTGGAGGACGTTGTAGCCTTGCCATTCAGGGGTGTTGAAGTTGTTGCCATGCTTCTCAACAAAGCTGCCGACTGTTTCGAAAATCGCCTTCGCGTCTTGATGTTCAGCCGCAGCACTGCCAACGATGATCATTGGACGTTTAGCAGAAGCGAGCTTCTCTCCAAACTGTCCCGAAAGGGCAGCCTTAAGAGCGTTGACATCGGATCCAAGATGCTCGAATTCGAAAGTACTATCGAATGATTCTCCGACAAGACCAATCTCCAAGTCAGAGCGCAGGTATTGCTTACGGATACGTGCGTTGAGGACAGAGGCCTCATGACGAGGGTTGGTAGCAACGAGAAGGATAGCATCAGCCTCTTCGATTCCGTAGACCTTGGAGTTGAAGAGGTAGTTCGAACGAACGTCAACACCGTGGGCAACAGGCGAGCTGCCTCCCGGCTGGTCCAGAGCGAGGTTATCGGATCCAAGCTTGTTAGCCAAGTCTTTCATGGCAACAAGCGACTCGGCATCCACAAGATGTCCTGCAATAGCCTTGAACTCGTTCTCTTTCAGCTGCAAGTTTTGCTGGGCGGAGGAGATCTCGCTCAGGGCCTGCTCCCAAGTAGCCGGAACGAACTTGCCCTCACGACGAATCAAGGGTGTTGTAAGTCGCTGAGTCTTCAGACCGTCACACGCGAACCGAGATTTGTCGTTGATCCATTCCTCGTTAATGTCGTCGTTGAGTCTGGGGATAACACGCATGACTTCCATGCCTCGGCTATCGATCCGGATGTTCGAGCCCAAAGCATCATGCACGTCAATGGATTCAGTATGTTTCAACTCCCAAGGACGAGCACGGAAAGCATAGGGCTTCGAGGTGAGAGCACCAACAGGACAAAGATCAATGACGTTGCCTGAAAGTTCCGAATCAAGGTTCTTCTCCAAATAAGTACCGATTTGCATGTCGTTTCCTCTGCCAGTGGTTCCCAGTTCGGGGGCACCGGCAACATCGTTCATAAACCGAACACACCGAGTGCAGTGAATGCATCTGTTCATAGACGTCTTGACAAGGGGCCCAATGTTCTTGTCCTCAACCGCGCGCTTGCCACCAACTTCATGGAAACGCCCACGGTCGGCGCCGTATCTCATTGATTGGTCTTGCAGATCACACTCGCCTCCCTGATCACAAACCGGGCAATCAAGAGGGTGGTTGGCCAAAAGAAATTCCATAACACCCTCCCTAGCTTTGTGTACAAGTGGTGAATTCGTCTTAACATTCATGCCCGGCTGCACAGGCCAAGCACATGATGCCACAGGTTTAGGCGCCCGTTCGACCTCGACTAGACACATACGGCCTATAAAGAAAAACAATCAGTGACCTCTCCAATAACCCGGTGACAAACATAGACATACAGTTTCCTGCAATCAAGAGCTTCCTGTGGTTCAATTAGTACTCAAAACAATGATATTCGGCAATTTGGACCATACTCATGATAGCAGTATCTGTCAATTGTTGTTAGCTATCCTCTACAGTAGTAATGGTTTGGGTCAATATACCTGGGAACCGTGGCGCCTGCCTTCTCGCAAGCCTGAATGAGAGCGGAGCCAGCTTTAAGCCATGTAAGCAAGATGCTGAGAAGCCATGGATTGAGACACGAATTCACCTTCGACTGAAACTTTCTTCCCATCTAGATAGAGAGAGAGGTCAGCAAAGCTACGTAAGTTCAGCAAGAAGCATGTAGCTTACCAATTGTGAGTTCAACCTCAGCGGAGCGAGGGATTGTCGTCGCGAATGTCCTGGGGTAGTTGACCTTGGGAACCCGGACGAGCCGGGCGGCCGCACGAGATAACTGCGGCCGCATACTGTGAATAGAAACAAATGTGAGAGGATAGAGTAGACTTGAGCAGCGAGCGCAATGGACGTTATCTGAAGGCGCCGGTGGAAGTCTACAGTGCTGGGAGATTCTGGATGGGAGGTGCACTTTTGGCTTGGTTCGGATTCTGCCAGCCATGAGCCGGGGCGTCACTCGCAAATTGCCGCCTGCGGATTGGTTCGGCTATTCGGAGGATTATTTAGTCCGCACTACTCCCTTTTCTTTCTTAATAAGCCCTTCGGACGCTATTTCCTTCCTCTTTTCTCTTTCTCTCCATAACTCATTCACGGGCATGATTTATTGTAGGTGGCAGGGTTCTTCATTTCCCTTCTTCCTCTGCAACATGACCCAAGAAGAAGATGCACTGAGCTGGAGCTCCTTAGGGTTTTTCTTCAAGGAACACCTGATGAGGGTATAGTTCTTTACTGACAGTCGCTACATCTTTTGCCGTATCTAGACAAGGGAATTGAAAATTAACAAATGCACAATATTCATGTCAACCTGTTCTGTTGCGTAGTGGATGATGTATCGGTACTTTTCGGGTCCGTTCTTCGCAAGCTTCTAATCTCTTGTTCCCGGTAAAACACGTGGTGCGGAGCCGACAAGTACAGCTTGAAATTAAAGTTCTACCGTGAATGGCATACAGTAAGAAGCCCGAACTCATAAGCTGAGTGTTGCAATAGTAATTGCCATCCAACCGACTCGATCAATTCATTATTAGCATGTATGAGTAGTTTCACACTTTCCCCGGGTATCGACGTGCATGTATACCAGTTATCCAGCATTATAGCCCGACCTTCCTACCATGAGGCCAATATATGCAAGCTGGAAATGAAATGAAAAAAATATGTCCCTAGGCATGTACAGCTTTAGAGTTCTCAAAGAATACGTTGGTTACAATATCAATACTAGGCCACTAAAGACCATCGTAATATGCTACATGCGAATCTCAAAACATCACCAGACAACGGATATTATAGAACAGAGACTGAAAATGACAACCAAGACAGAGGAAAACTAGGAATCATTCGGCTTCCAAGTGGTCTCTTGCTTTGTGCCAGGAGGTAGCCACACCCGGGAGCTACTGCCTCCTCTGGGACGGATACGGCCCTGGTCATCATCATCCTTCTTAGGTGTACTTGTAGTATGTGAGGCAGGGCCATCTGGTGAGTGATAGTGAGAGACCTTGTTTGCCGACGGGCCATAGCCATTTGAGTCCCATGTTTTGCCTGCGGTCTGGACATTCAGGGGAAGAATAGTTTCCCTTGTGCGAAAATGGTCAGCATTTGCTCTCTGGTCCGCTAGGTCATCGTGGCTAGTGCGATCGTAGAGGTAAAGGCCAATAAAGGTAAGAGCGATTCCAAAGCCTTGAATGGATGTCGTCGAGCTTCCAAACCAAATGATTGCAACGACAATCACGAAGACTCTTTTCACCAAAGATGCGACGGAGTAAGAAACTGGTGATATCATAGATAAGAGGACGAACGCCAGTATATTCTGTGCGAAGTGCGACACCCCGTTGAATACGAATTCGAGGAAGAGAGCGCCATGATCCAGCGAGCCTGTATTTCCCGACAATGAGACGGCGCCATCCTGTATGATATCGGAGATCAAAGGATATCCTTCACTTATGAACCAGATAGGTAGTGTAAGAATGAAGGCTAATCCAGAGCAATAGTAAAGCAAGTTCAACTTATCCAGTTTTCGCCGGCTGGACGGTTCTGCCTCTGACTCTGCACGAGACGCTTCATTGAACAGCTTCTTCGAGAATATGTTCTGCGAGACGAAGACCAATGCAGCTACTAACGCACATAGTATGCCGAAGAAGTTTGTCGAAAAGCCTGAAGAGCAAGCGAGCATCACTCCTAAAGTCAATGGGACAAGAGATAGATATGTTGCTTTGGCATATCGAATTCGGAAGAAGACCCGATACGCCAAAACTGTGAACAAAGGTGAGAGTCCCTTGATTGTGTGGACGAGTGAGACGGGGATCTGAGAGGTAGCCATAGAGCTAAGTATATGGCCGGCTAACTGGAATATTGCCAAAGGCAAAGCTGTCAGAACAACATCACGGGACGGGGGACGGATCCCGTTCCTGAGGGCCGGTATGCTATCTTTCAGCCAGGGTAGCACATTTGATAAATAGGTCAAGACCAAGCACCAGAATGCTACAAAGGCGAATTGTACGATAGTAAGCGTTATTGGTTTCGGAAGGGCATTTAAGATGGACTTCGATGAGGTATTCGTCAGGGCGGAGGTCATGTACCATATAAGGCAGAGAACCTAAGCCGGGTAAGCAACAGGGTAGGAAGCAATCCATGCAAGTCCAATAAACTTACTATCAGCTTGTATGATACCGGAGCTTTAAGGGCCTCGGCCAACTCTTGTGCATTGGCGCTGACACTGCCATTGCGTGTTCTAATTGTGCTAATCGCCTCGCTGATACTTTTCCTTGATTTTCTTTTCGAATTCAATGTAGGATGCCTGTTATCCCGTGAAAACTGTGCTTGCTTCCGTGGCTCCCAGCGATCTGTCGCCGCATATCTAATCGAATTGGAATGCGATTCTCTTGGTTCGGTCGTAGTCTCGGGTACTTCATCAATGAATGGCGGAAACTTGTCTATTGGACTGGTCATTTGTTGCGAGGTCGTTGAAGTCGCCGGTACTTGAAGGTCTGGCAGTCGTACAGAAGAGCGTCTCCCAGTGCCGGTCACAGTCGTTGTGGTCATGTCCTAACTTCTCAATTTCGAAAACCTAGATAATTGATCGGTCCCGTTAGCTGGCTCCAAGTATGTAAATGCAATGCCACTTTACCATTTAAAGCCAATGCTTGTATGGCGATTGAGAACGACAGTTGAGCCCTCCAGTCGGCTTGAGCGGTAACAAGCACAGATCGGCTTTTTGGGGCTCAAAAATGGAAGCCGAACGCGATGTTTTCGAGCTTGCGTGATTCAGGGTACGTCAGGATATTTAAGCGGGTAGTAGGTAGCAGCAGTATGTCGGCGCTGCAAGGTAACGTTTGCAGTTTTCTAGATGACGAATCCCTATGGACGAATTAACATTGAGTATTCGGAACACGCTGCTCGGGTGGGATGTTACATACACCTGTTTACTAAGGTTGTAACGGAGTAAGCAAGCCGGAACTTACTTGTACTGGTTTAGTAGGTCTCTCCGTCCGATAACGATAGACGGAATAGGCAGGGATCTCGTTACATAAACATGTATAGTTTATCAACTAGCGACAATCTTTGCATAAATAATTGACTGTTGCTAATTAGTATGCCCTTGTATTTCGATAATAAGCTTCCCGAAGTAATCACAACCAGGCGGACTTCACTTTTCCCAACCATGGCCGACGCTGGAAAAATGTGGGGAATGTCTTTTTGTTTTTCTTCTCTTTCTGATTACTTATTCTTCGAAACAACCGCCTCATCATTAATCCCTTACTGCAGTACCTGACGCTGACGAAAGCTAATATCTTGTTACTGATACTCTGGGACCTTATGGGAGAGTGTAGTTCTGCGGACCTATACATCACTTCATTGCAGACAGTACCACAGATCTTCATCTCGCCACTCAATGCGAAGGGCTGGGAAGAGGTAGGATCGTGGCCTTCGCAGGCCCTAACAAAGATGGTTTGTGCTGCCGGTGTCTTCAGGCTTCCGGCTACAAACTTTCCTCGAGGACACCTGCGACTCTCTTATCTATATTTCTCCTCCTTGAATGATGGATGCAGTATAACAGCTCGCTCAGAATGTTATGATAGATGAATAAGAGTTTGTTCCGTTTGAAGATATTTTGGTAGTTTCACACCACACCATATATACTTTTCCCTCTCAGTATTAATGCTCTGACTTGAAAGTCGAGTAGTATAGAGATAACATGTAATCACCCTATATCGATATACTTGCTTACACATGGTCAGTAAGTCTTTAGCTAACATCAGTCTCAATCTTGGTCAGCATGAGATATTATAATTTTCACCAACGCTCTATGCCGTTGATTGCCATGGATTCTGACAGATTTGGGAAGAACAACCTGTTATTACTAGAGCAACAAAGAATGTACTTATTTTGAGCTGGACAATAGATGGTTTTCGATGTTCAAGTTTGATATGGATCGAATAGCTTACTGGCTAAGTTTTACTCCCTAGAATATTTTTCACAAATTCAAAGAGATATATATAACACAACATGATATCACAGTATCTGGGTGTGATGTTGTGAGAGGGTCTATCTTTTCTACTAGACACATTTGGACATAGAAAGAGGTCTGGAACAGTTCATCTAGGCCTCCCCACTAAAGGGACAGCCGCCCAGTACACCCTTTTCTTTTCTTCTTTCCTAATCAACAACTTTCACCACTGCATATCTTGGGGATTCGCTGCTACTGTACACATAGTCTGGAACGGCCACTGCGGATCATTCTTGCTTGTCATGGTCTAATGACACAAATTACCAAAGCAATCTTCAGCCGTAGTATTGTTCAGAGGGCATAAACAAAGACAAAAGCAGTTTCTAATCACTCTTAGCACTGTCTAGGTTAAGAAATAATGGGAGTCACTAACTCTTAGCAAGATTATATTTCAATGACAAATGTTCCCCAGGAATAGAAGACAATTGCACCACAACGTGCCTCGGACACGGGTTTTCGAGCAGGGCTTCCAGCACTCAATTTCTTCCTCCCTTTATAATCCCCGCAATGGTGTCTTCATCGCTCTTTCCTTGATTGCAGATCCTTGACGCAGGCCTTGTAACGCGTTTGGTTCGAAATTCGGGCCTTGATTTCCCTGTCTTCAGATACTGCCATTTGCCTTCTGAATTGTCCCGCAGTTAATTGAACGTACCTCCCCACTTACAGTCATTTGTTAGCTATCCCCTTCATATTCAGCCTTCAACCATTTGTGGAGGATTTGGATTCCGTACAGCTCGCGCTATTTGCTCACCAGTGTGCTTTCGACTATTTTCCTGTCAAACCCTGTGTTTGCCGACCTTTACAAACTGTGACTTCTGTGGCAGTGCTCTCAAGTGACTATCCGAAATGTCTTCACACTCCGATGCCCCCCTCAATCTGGAACGCAGACAGTGTGAAGAGGGTATCATCGACA